ATTCTGAGTGTGTGTATATACAGTGTCACATTAAGGCACTAGTGGGCCCTAAGCAAAGTATAAACTAGTGTCCCCCCCCCCCACTGCTTATAAGAAAATACCATACAATTTGATAAACTGAATTTATTTAAAAAATTGGTTTGTTATTATTATTTCATAATACACTTCATATTTTATTATTATACTTGCATGGTAGGCCCCTTGCAGGGGTGGGCCCTTGGCAATTGCCCATTGGATAAAACAGCCCTGTGTGTGTATATTATGAGAAAAAAGCTGCACAATCTGCACTGTTTACACCATTATATAGCAACAAACATAGCACTAAACCATTAGAGGGCTGTAAGAAAATGTTTGTAAAAAGTTATACAAGGGATACCTAAACTATACATTAGAGGTGGGTAATTAGTGTAATTGTTAATTGATTAATCATCAAGCTCGTTAATCAATTACATTCAACTAAATGATAAGTGCATGCCCCAAAAACTGCACTCATACAAGTATAAAAAAAAAAAGAGACTGGGTACTAGTTTTATAACTTTTCCAAACACTGCATTATTCTATCTTATTACTTTTTTCTGCAAAAAAAAAAACATATCTTGCCACAAATCTTTTTTTGCAGAAGATAATCTGGACATTTCCTACTTTGGAAATTGCTAATGTTGATAAAATATCATCATATGGTCTGAAAATGAAACAAGTCTCTAAAGTAACAAACTTATTTCATTTTGAAGAATTAGATCACAATAACAAATTATCACCTAATATTTACAAGTTTACTTGCCTTTGCTGCATGAAGGAATACTCTGAATTCATCATTAAGTATAGATATCCATTTATATGAAAAAACATGTACTCATCAAACCTGGGAAGGTATTGCTCATTATAAGTACATATTAATAGAATAATGTTGCTAATAAAGTTGACAAAATCAAAACAGACATCCCTAATTTTGAACTGATAGACTAAAGGGGCTCAAAAGTTGGCAGTGGGTCTGTTGACTAGCTGTTGTTGACTAGCTGCATTCTACTCTAATCAAAGTGTGAATCTGAGCATCACATACAGCTTCAAAACGTAACCATGATTTTACAACAATGGGACACAAACCATGAACCTTTTAACTTACAGTCTGGCACACTAACCAATAACAGGCCATGTACAACCTAGAAAATATTACTGTCTGTTTGTTGTTCAACACAAATAATACAATATGCTAACTGTGTTGTACCCACTTCAGAGATCAAACACAAAATTGTAGCATTATAAGCCCTCAAGCTTACTCTTGAGGTACAAGAGTTACGAGCATGTGAAAAATAAAAACAAAATGCACTATCTGGTTATCAGTCAGCTACAAAAATCCCAACATAGCTAAAGTTTAAACTTTGTTAACTTACCTGTCCATTTGTTTGTGATGTCAGTGAGCAGCCATCTCTCTCACTGCTAACAACTGATCTCCAGGTGTCTGTTCTTGGAGTGTATCCTGGATCCCAGAGACTATTACTAATAGGGGTCACATACATTGGCCAATCTGCTGTATAGGTTTGAATTAAAATTAAGATTATTAATATAAAAAAATTCATGTTAAAATACATTTATTAAGTTCTCGAATCATGAAACTCGCAAGAAATTCAACATTAAACATATAAATTCAATAAATTGTGAGCAAACTAATAGTGACATGAAATTATACACAAGTGTCAATAGTTAATGCCTAAATAATTAATTTAATGCTATCTTAATTATTGATAACTTCTGATCAAAATAAAACTACATAGATAAAAACAATTAATGAAGCCAATTCTACAAAATGAAGCCAATGTACAAAATGTCATAAATCAATGCACAACAAAACTAAAATCAATAATAATTACAATTCATTGAGTTATCAGCTGGGTACCCTGATCTCTGTTACCAATATATTTGGCTGTAAAGTTACAATTTTCTTATACTGAAAATGTATTTCAAATAGATACTCACCTCCTCTGACATAAATAGCTATTCTCATTCAGTGCTGCACTCTATATGCAAAAAAAAGTTTACAGATGCCACAAGCCTTCTATCTCCCCCTCCATTGTAATTGACTGATTCCAATGTGTCTTTCATACAAATCATCATGTGTCAACCCTCCACAAATAAGAGTGCAACATACTTTCATTACACATGTGACTCCTTCTATTCAATTCTACTGAACTATCATTTTGAGTTTTGGCAGAAGAAGGAAGCACTGGTTTTTAGGTAACTACTTATCGGAAATACATTTTCAGTGGAAGAAAATTATAACTTCCGATACAATACATTACCTCTTCTCACATAAGTAGCTAGAATCCCACTGGAGGAACCAGTGCAAGGGAAAGAAAGAAGCATCCTTCGAAAGCATCTGAAGGAAACTCCCTAAGATGAGACAGTCAGATTCTAAGATCTGATGTAGGGAATTGCACCACTTCTGAACCAGGTATACTCTTCGCCCATTGTAGAAAGATGTTGCATATTTGGGTGAAAAACAGAGGAGCACATGCAATTGGGAGAGAACTATGCCCAGAAAATGATCCAAGCCATGCAGTATTCATGAAACTCAATCCCAGAAATTATAAAAGTGGGTAAAATTAAAAGGTGTGGAGTGTCTAGGCTGCGATGGATTGTACATGGCAAGTCAACAACGTCAAAAACCCATGCTGCTGGGAACTGACATCCAAGCAGGGTTAGGATGATGATCATACCGTCAGTAAGTCAACTACAATCCAAAACCCTGCCACTGGGTAACAACATCCATGTGGGGGTAGGAAAGATTATATCACCAGCAAGTTGACTACAATCTATAACTCAGACCACCAAGAATTGACATCCATGTGGGGGTAGGAAAGAGGAACATACAGTCTTCACCTCAATTTCACGAGACTGGATGGAATTTAGTACCCCCTGATTCATGAACGAGGCACATGTGAATATGATAAATTGATAGATCAATCTGAAAACCCGACATCCGAATTGAAATGATGTCTACATAATGTAAACCATCTCACTCAAAAGTGAAATTGACTAGAACCACCCCAAGCACAATATAACATCCTCATTATATGAAACATCAAGGGATAGTGGAAGGGAATGAACCTAAACAATCTACAATTACCTCCACCGTGACCCACTGATGGAGTATAAATTTTTAGTCATTTATTGACCATTCCTTCATCTATGTCATTGATGTAAATCAAAAAGAGCAAAGTTTCTAAGACTGAGCCCTGAGGTACCCCACTTGTTTGACTGAACTCCATTTGTAACAACCCTCTGCTTTCTTCCATCCAGCCACTATTCTATCCAATTTGCTAACTTATTCCCCACACCTATAGAGATAATTTATTTTACAAGCCTTTTATGTGGCATGTTGTCAAATGCTTTCTGTAAATCCAGATACACCAAATCTACACTCTTATCCTCATCTCCATAAGCAGTAACCTTTTCAAAGAATGTCAAAAGATTAGTAAGGCAAGATTTTCCTTTAGTGAAACCATGTTGACTATCCAGTAAAATTCTAAACTTTGTTAAATGGCTTTGCAAAGCATCATTTATCAGATTTTCCAAAACTTTTCCCACAACTAATGTAAGACTGATGATCTTATAATTACTGAGATAATTTTTATCACCTTCCTTGAAAATAGGAGTTACATTAGCTAACTTCCAATCCTCTGGCTCCTGCCCACTCTTCAAGGACTTACAAAAATAGTAGCAAATGGCTCGCATATCCAGTTCTTAACCTCCATCAAAACCCTTGGGGAAATATTATCTGGCCCATGAGCCTTATTCTTTAAATTTCCCAGTTTTTTCTTAACATGAAGTAGAGAAGGTTGCCTTTAATTAAAAATAAATCCATAAAGTTCTACAGGTACTGAAAAATCTACCACAATAAAAATCAGCAGTGACAGTAAGAAACTATGAATTAAGATTTTAAAGTTTTGCTCCTAGTACTACCAGACTAGTTCAGTGTTTGAAACCCACCCATCCCCTTTTTTTTATGGATGGGGTTATTTTGAAGTGAAACAGTTAAGATAGTAGTGGAGTTTAAGAGTCCTCACCACTTTCCAGTTCTAAGCTGCTGGGGTGGTGGACCATGGAGGCATCCTCCTGAATGGGTTATGAAATACAAAAAAATAAAATAAAAATGATTATAAAACCATTCAGTTGAGAGTAGGGTGGTGGTGTTCTGCTGGTGTAAGTGACATCCTTCAATATAAAACATAATAAAAAAATGGAGTGAGATGTTAAAATTGCAGTTCACCCTTTTGATTGGGATCCCTCATCCCACCCCCACATGGATGTCGGTTCTCATGAGCCAGTTTTTGATTTAGAGTAGAACCAATCAACATAAGTCCTCACACATGTATTACAGATGTCTATATTCCTTCCTTTTTGCAGATGATATTAAGGTCTTGGGTTTGCTAGCTGTGAAGAGGATGCTGCTGATAAATGGCAGAGGGGTTTTAATTATAATACATACAAAATAATGCATGTGGGTTATCATAATTTGAATTATAAGTATAATTTGGATGGGAACAATCTTAACAGTGTCATGAAAGAAAGGGATCTTGGTGTAATAGTTGATCAACCTCTTAAGCCATCTAAGCAGCGTGCTGTTGCTATTGATAGGGAAATAGAATTTTGGGTTTTGTCTACAAAAATATTGAATACAAGTCTAAAGAAGTTATAATTTCATTGTTATGGTCAATGGTTAGGCCACATTTGGAGTGTTGTGTTCAATCTTGGGCTCCTTACCTAAAGAAGGACATTGAATTGTTGGAAAGGCTTCAGGGAAGGGTTACTAGAATGGTGCCTTGGATGGAGAGGTTGAAATCTCTCAAATTGTTTTCTCTTGAAAAAATAAGAGTTAGGGGGGATCTGATTGAGGTGTTGAAGATTGTAATGGGAATTGATAGTGTTGATGCATCATCTTTTTTTCCTACTTAACAGCTCGAATAGTAGGACTAGGGGATAGAAATATAATTTTGGCAGGGTAGGAGTCATCTTCAGCTGAGACAGTTGTATTTTTCTACGAGGGTGGTTGGCCTTTGGAATGGGTTGCCTTGTTGTAGAGACAGTAAATTTAAGTGAGTTTAAGAGAAAGCTTAATAAGTATATGAATGATAAGGGTTGGCTTTAAGATTTTTTTATTAAATTTATTTACTAATAGTTTAGTTTAGAGAATGGGACAGCTGAGATGGACCAATAGATCCCATGTTATCCCAAAATGTTATGTTATGATATTTTCAGGAGAAACACATTTGAGAGGGCAATAAAATGTTAGGGGTTAAATTTTTCAATCATAGTAGTCACGGGCTTAACTTGGGGGTTGGATGGGGGGAACAAACAGTCACACCAATAGTCTAAAACGTCAAAAAAGTCCATTATCCTCTGATTTATCTTTTTAGTAAACATTTGACTTTCATATTAATCACTTAAATTCTTTGTGTAGAATTTAAGATTCATATTTTTTTGTAAAAAGATCCCCATCCCCACTGAGTAGTGATGCTTCCACTGCTGGTAATGCCACAGAACTACAATCTGTTTTTTTCTTTATGCTTTTTTATAGAAACTCACCAAATATGCTGAGAAGATGATACAAGTTAAACCAAGTACATGCTTGGATGATAATAGTATGATATACTAAGCTGTTATATATATATGTAAAAAAAAATTCTGTTTCAGAATTAAACTGGTCATGAAGATTCATGGAAAATCCTATACAGTTAGTAATACTACTACCAAAGAAATGATAATCAGTTTAACTCAAACTACAACATAGTGTTCCAGCATGTGATGTATCATTCTTAAGTTTGACTTTGTAGCTGTTCATGCATATATATATATTAAGAATTTATGATTAGAAATATTCAAACAATAAAATTAAAATGAGATTTTGAATACTAAACAGATATATGAGAAACTTGTACAAGAACTCTTGAAAATTGTACTTCTGTATTAGTATAATTTTTGATATAATTACTTCAATATTAATAGATTTGGATAAAAAAGTGTAAATATTACAATAGGTGAGATTGACAAAGTTATCATGTGCCTACATCACTTACTCTGATTTTGTAAAGCCTGAAGTTTGTGGTATTCCTCCATTTTCTGATATCGCTGAATTTGTAAAGCACGAACATATTCCTTGTGAGGTAGACGATCAGATCCCAAAATTCCTAATTAAAATTTTTTTTTATTAAGTAAACAGATTACGTTTTTGTTTAACAAAGCATTTATTTAAAAATTATCTACGAATACCAGTTTTAATCATTTAAAAGTTAAACAATTTTTGATTTCCAATTTATTCTAAAGCTGTCCTGACAAACTGTGAAAAAGTTGGATTATTACAAATCATTAATGAAAGAAAGTTATCGTACATAAACATTTGCAACCTTCTTTCTTCTAAATAATATTACAATTTTTGATATCGTGGCAACTTATGTTTTAGTAAGTCCAACAAGCAACAGGAATCAGATCCCCCCCCCTTCGACTTCGGTCACGCGTTGCCAAATTTCATTTATCCTAGTTCTATTCTACATGTTGTTGTAATCTTTGTTTTGGAGAAGTTATCTATAATAACCAAAACTTAACAACCAATATTAATTTCCAATCAGTTTAAGCTATGTACTTAGAACGAAACTAAAAACCCACCTGCAATCAGCATAGCTAACTGAATATATTTTTTCTTATGTTTCTACTTAAAAGAATTATAATACATTATTTGATCATTTAGGTACTCTCACTGTTAACAATAACTTTACCCCTACAAATACTCAATTTGTACTACTAAGAGTAGTCCAGCTTCTTACAAGTTCTTTTTCTAAATATATAGTAACGAAGAGCATCAACTAACTGTAAGACAAAAAGTTCCCAGAACACTAAATAAATTCTTAACAAAACTTCTAAACTGCATGTTTCTCATAAAGTGACAAAGAAACTTAAGCTTCACAAAATACAAAGCAAATACCAACTCTAGTTGCTATCAGAACATACAAAATATTCTTGCACTGTACAATCAGGATACTAAATGGGTATGTCTACAACAGGATAGTGTCAAGTCCCATGTTTAAAGTCATAGCAGTGTTTCTATGAACCACAGAGAAGTAAACCAGTATTCATGTACATTGTATGCAGTAAATGAATCGTATAGGGTTCACACAATTTACTACAAAATCATATCATCACTAATAGATTGTTCTTTTCGCTAAATAGAATGAAAATAACATTTAAAATTACAAGTAGCGTTCAAATGGGCTGATTACAGAGCCCCTATTAACACATGAGTAATATAAAAAGAAAATCAATATTGAAAGTAATTTCCTCTTCTGTGAAATCAATTTTCTATGCATTTTACACATTATTTCACCAAAACGTTTTGGTCAGTTCCTTACATTAAGTTTTGTAACAAGGCAATAACATAAAATTACTGAATATGATTCAATATATGGGCCCCACTAGTAGTGAATGGTACAAACATAAGACTGTATTTTGTGGGTTAACATATTATCTAAAGCTGGCAGATAGGTGTTCTGAAACAAATTCTTTGTAACCATGTCTTACCATCTAAATCTGTGCTTGAAGTGCCTGTACTGCAGACTAGTTTGTCTGTAAGATGCGATGATGACCAGGAAGACAGTCCAGAACTAGATACATCCCGTTCTTGTAAAAGATGTGATGAACCAACTCCATTTAAACTATTCCACATATTGGTTGGAAAGATAGTATTAGTGTTTGTTACACCTGGGCCACTAGACTTGGAAACCACTACAGGTTTCTGTCCAACAGGTCCTAAAAACAAAAGCAAGGACTGTTTATACAGTGAAGAATAATTTTGAAGTGTTTATCTATTTGACATTTGGGAAAGTACACCAAATATTAATAACCAATATACATATATATATCCAGAAATAGTTATTATGTTCTAAATTCCTTACTCTCTTCAAACTTAAAATGTTGGCAACAGATAAAAAGGAAAAGGGGAGGGGGAACTGATCACAAACACTGAAATAAACTTCACATTTTTTTATTCAATCTTCTTCATAAATCAATTTACAAGATCCAAGACTTTCTTACAATACATTTCTAAGACGAAATAAAAGATAATGGAACTTTAATAATGTTCTTGATTTGTTATAAGTGCAAAGCTACACAACGGGCTATATGTGCTGTACCTACTAAAAAAAATTTGCATTACACAAAACAGTATATACACAAGATACTAATGTTAGGTTTTCAACTTTGCATATATGTTTGTTTACAGAAAAACGTTTAGAAACGACTTCAAGTTTGAAATATATATTATATAATATTACTATTTATGCAAAATTTAGCTTACATAAAAAAAGTATTTTTTTATTGATTATCTTCAGAAAACCATACATGTTTAAGTGAACTGACCTAGAATGCCAAAGCACAATAACGTTCTGATCTTCATTCAGTATCAATAATACGAATTTTCAAAAGTTCAATATGAACTTTGATTAAGATAATTATTACTCTCCTTTCTACATTAGTAGATTCTTAAGGGATAAAGAAAATTCTTACAGCTAAACTATTACACTCTTTAAATGAATAAACTGTCTACGAACGAAAGAAAAAAACAAAAAAGAAGAACAAACAAATTATCTAAAATTAACAACCAATTCATTATAGATTAACAAAATAAAGTGATAAGATGTACTTACTTCAAACAAAGGGTTCACTAAGTATCAAAATGATGATAATATTTAACTTAGTCTGGTAAGTTGATAGAATAAAGCTACTTAATACTAAAACAATCAAAAAACACTTTGCAGACTTTAACTAAAATTGAATTGTTGAACAATAATAGTAAAAGTTTTTATCAGTTAAGCCTAAAATGAACCTCTTCATTGCCTACCACTTTGGTTCACTCTTTACTCAAGTATCAATACAGTACCACAAATGCATGTGTATACTAAAACAGTAAAAATAAAATAGCAAAAACTCACTTTGAGAAATAGAAATAAGCCACAAGAGTGATATAAAGAGAATCATTTAATAAAATTTTAATTGTGGCTGTTGAAAAGCTTTTGTTTTGGAGCCTCATTCCTACCTGGAAATCTTGATGAAATGCCTCCCACATCTCCAGCCAATAAAGTTTTTGATTTTGCTTTATTAAGTCCCAAATCTCCACTAACTGCTGCAGAATAGGTTGGAGGTCGGTAGGAGCCTGTCAAGTTCGGTTCATTAGATGAACTTCCACGATTATGAAGCACAAATGTTTCTGTTTGCTGAGCAAGGTCAAAGAATCCATCTGAAAAGTTAATATAAAAACAAAATTGTAAAAAATGTAAGAACTACAACAGATAAAAAATTTATTGTATAAAAAACACTTACAACCAATATATGTTTATGAATAAATAATAAAACAATAGGAATATCAAGTACATTACTTCAATACTGAGTATATCCTTAGCATTTGAAAATCATCATTAACACAATGTTATTGTATAAAAAACACTTACAACCAATATATGTTTATGAATAAATAATAAAACAATAGGAATATCAAGTACATTACTTCAATACTGAGTATATCCTTAGCATTTGAAAATCATCATTAACACAATGTGCACGGTAGGGGTTATAGTGCACTCATGACCTTCACAAAGTTACATTGAAATTTAATTAAGCAATTTTATTACCAACGTGTGTAAATAATCCTGGCATCAAAACATTATTTATAATTAAACTTTTAATACTGTATCAGTTTTAATTTCTTAATATCAAAGAGAAATATTTTAATAAATTCTCATTGTTCACTTCTTTCTATCACACGACACTTTTTTAGTCAGAAATGTCAATTTTAGATATTCTTTCTATCCTTATTTCAGCTTTTGAGTTTTAATAAAAATCCCACAGTTATAATATATATATATATATTGTCACGATGTATCTAAATATACAGCCTCCAATCTTTTTGCTTTAACAAGATATAAACCAGAAAGTCAAAACCACATCTTCCTATCACATCCAGCCTTTCAAAGAATGTCAATAATTTTTTTTGACATTTGATATAAGATTATTTATAACCAACAGAACGACTGAATTTTAATTTTCTCAATTCCTTATAAGGCTAGATTGTTCCTACAACAGGTTTTGAACTATTCACCCTACTGTTTCAGTCTTCATTATCTCAACCAACCAAAGGAATTATTTTGAACCACTTATAGCTTAATTAGAAAGCCAATTAATTTATAATAGTTACAAGATATTGTACTCTTTGTCTGTGTTATTACTTTATGTTATAAACTGAATATCTGAAATAAATAAACTTGAATGAAGTACTAACAACAACCCTACCAAAAATAAGGGTTAACTGTTATCAAGACTTTGACTGCAAAAACAAGTACAAGTATATTTAGGTAAATTTTTTATTCGTTGTTATAAAAGTAATTAAAAGTGTCAAAATTACAAGTTTTTTAGGTAAGATAATAAAACTGAAATTCTTTTTGCTTTGTTATACTAATTTAGAAGCTAAACACAGTTCAAAGAGCAATAAAACAATAAAATTAAATGAAAGCACTTGTGAGAAGAGGAAGAGGCCTAAAGCTGTTAAGATAGATAACTGTAATCGTCTGTTGTAAACTGCAGTTATTCCAGACAAAATTATACTTTTGAATTGATCACACATTTTTCAACTTTTGGTACAGAAGATTTCACTATAGTTAGTGTTAGGGTAGAAAAAATGAGAGATTAAGTTTAACCAAAACAATTCTGATATTCATTAAGAAGGTTCTAAAGGCTAAGTAAATGTAAGATGAAAACTGTAAGGTGAAAAAAAAGCATTTTTACTTTTAACATGATAATCACCTTGCACTCAGACTAGTCAAAGTTGAAGACAGACTGACTTCATAGATTCATCGATAAATCTTTAGTAAAAATACTTTGTCAAAAAATCTGATTTTTTGTGTACAATAGATTTCATGTTTACTAAAAGCTTGTCAAATTTCATACCATACAAACCAAAACCTGTTTAGTCTGAAGAGTTAATAAAGAAAACGATTACAGCCAGACATTACAAAAATAAACAAGATCATGAACAGGGTAAAACCTAAAAATAAGGGTTATTTATCCCTTGAATTTCTTAAAATAGCAATATCAATGAAAAAAAATAAGTTTATTTTATATATATATATTTTATATGATACAAATTTCCATTTTTGAAGCCTAATCAATTAATTCAACTTCATTTTTAAAGCCATTATAAATAAATATCATATGTACTAATTAAAATTAACACAGTCAACTACTAACATGGTAGGGAAAGATTTTATCTGTATCTAGTATTTATTTTTACTTTAATCAACAAAACAATGAAGATCTGAACAGAACATTTATACACATATTCAATATGGTGCTACAATCAAAAACATTCAAATGTTAACATACACTAATCAAATCAAACTGTAGGCAAGAATTTCAGTTTAAAAATCTTTCAAGCCTCAAAAACGATTTTGGGGCCTGAAAGACAACCCAGGGTGGTAAGAACCTTTTGCTTCTCTTCACCCATGACGGTGAAAAGGTTAATGCCAAACGAATTTAGATAGAGCCACTGAGCTTAGTTTATTTAACACGTAGAGTGGGTTGTTGAGAAACATGTTGAGACAAGAAAGATGCTGATTGAAGCATGCCTTAAAGCAGAACAAATGCATTTGTTTGTCCATGTGGCAATGATGTCAGTTGGAGAGAACAATTGACAAGGATTGGAGCAGAGAGAGATGCTGACTGAGTAAGTACAATTCTGTTTAAATAGATTTCTGAGAGATTGATCGATTTAAAAAAGAGAAAATTTTTAAAGTTACAGAGATATTATGATTAAAGAGAGTCTGATGGACTTACTGGATTAACAGCCCTTTTCAGGGGGGCCTGGGATAACATAATCCTATGCCCTAAGAAATTTTGATGCAGAAGGAAACCAGAAACATAATGCTCCACATTATATCAATATTTACTCTTTCTATGTATCAATTTTCATTTTTAGTAATCTGTTGATAATATAATTTTGTGTACAATGATGTTTTTTTTATTTTCAAGGTTAGAAATGAAATCCACAAACAACTTTTTTTTTAAACTAACACTGCATGGCACAGTACCAAGTTTTAAAGCAAAAGATTAATGAAAACTTTAAATATTCAACAAGATTAAACAGTTTCAGATGTAAAATTAAAATATATTATTTTTAATGACCTGTACATGTTAATAATTGAGTGAAATGTATTATTTATGATTCTCAAAGAATAAAAAAAAGAAAATGGACAAATTAATACAAAGATATTGATGTTACCATATCCTGCTAAAGGCCGTGGGTCATCCCAAAGAGGAGGTGGAGATTCTTTGCCCAAATCACTACTATCTGTGTCTGATAAAGTCGTAATTGATCGGCCTGTGAAAATAACACATTATCTTTCACTCAAACTATATCTCTATGAAAAATTACAGATCAAGAAAATATAATGAATTACTACAAGAATTCACTCATACAGAAAGAAAGATTATATGCAATCCTGATAGTGTATGGCATTTCAGTAAATCATTTGTATGCAGAAGCATGGTACAAAACAAAAAAACACATCAATCCTTTAGATATTATTTACCATCCAAGAAAACTATTAAAAATTTCAAAGTCTTTCAGACAACTGTGTCTTTAGTGAGAAGGTATGTCTAAATTTGTAGCAATAAAAGTACTGATTTCTGACCTGAAGTAATTTTATAAAACATTTTCAAGAACACATTATAAATATTTATTTTTACTTTCCATACGATCCTAAGAACAGTAATGTATAAACTTAACAGACTTAGCTCCACCACAAAGTTGATGATAAAGTAGACACTGAGAAGTGATAAACTTCAATAACAATCAAGTTTGTCTGTCAAAGAAATTGTAGTTAATGATTCAATTTAAATTCTTCTCCAAAAAGTACAGTATTCTGTTTGTTACAGTGAGTTTGAGATACTCAAGAGGTATTCGTACTAGTCATTTCTAATTTTGAAATAACAGACTAGAGTCAACTAGTCAATAGCACCCACTGCCAACTCTTGGGCTACTCTTATCCAACTAAATGGTCCAATTTCCTCATCACCCTTATAATGCATCCATAGCCCCAAAGTATGGAGCACATTTTTATGTTTTGTTCTAGTAATGACATATGAACAATTGGCTCTCAGATGCACAGTTTGATATATTAGCCACTGGGCTATGCTTGGCTCGGTTACAGTGAGAAATGAAAGAGTATACAGATTCTAGTTTGTTTGTTAGACAGTGGGAAATGACAGAATAAATTTGAATGTTGATTGCTAATTTCAGAGTTAACACCTCAAGTCTAAGGCAAAAGTTTGTTCAACCTAAACTGATGGAAACAATTTACATAATAATTAACCACATACTTCATAATAAAACAGGAAAATATACAATAATATCACATTGCTATGCAAAATCCTAACAGTTTTCGAAACAAGTTGTTAACATTAAAAATTAAATACATGTGAAACCAATTAAAATGTAAAAATAATCAAAATAAGAAGTCAAATTATACATATATAAAAACATAAAATATTTTAAATCTTAAGTACAGACTGTGAAAATGCCCAAAAATTTAGAAAATCTCAAGTTTTTCATTAAATAAGAATGCTTAATATAATTTAAAAAATTCTATTTTTCTTTACATTCACACTTTTAGCAATCCTATGGAGTAGATCTTAAGACATCAAAGTGGAAATAAAAAAGGTTAAGATTGTCATAATTCAAATGAAGGCAAGTTTATTGGTTTTATGGAAAAAAAAACCTTCACAATCTTGGAAAAACACAGCACTGGTTTCTTATAAATAAGAAATTCAAGGGATACACTAACCCTTACTTTTAGGTTTTACCCTGTTCAGGATCTTGTTTGTTTTCGTGATGTCTGGTTGCAATCGTTTTTCTTTATTAACTGTTGATACTACAACAGGTTTCGGTTTGTATGGCAACTCCAGAGTGCTGAGAAAAAATATAAGCTTTAACACTGATACAGTTATTAACAAAAAAATACTTGTAAAAATGAAACGCTGGAATATTAGAACATTTCATTTTCAGGAACAATATATTACTTCTCCTACACAATTATGAATTTTTTTGTATAATAATTTAGCTACAATATCTAATCCATATGATCCTTATGGCTTATTTATTTCAGAATATTTATGTCAAGCTAGACAAAGGTCTATCTACACATAGTTCTCCATAATTTTGAACTGACAGGCTAGATGGAAGGCAGCTAGTCAACAGACCTTCCACCAAACATTGGGCCACTCATGTCTTACTCAATAGTGGGATTTGACATGCATGGTCCCAAAGTGTGTAGAACATTTTTGAGGGTTATGGGCTGAAAACAATGAAACCTCAGATTCACAGCCCAAGTAAATTAACCATCAAGCCACACCCAATCTGGTCCAATCAGATTTTAAAACACATTTTTATACACCAAATTGCTTGTAGGTCCATGACCATCACACGATACATTAAAACATTTTAATATACAAAATTGCTTATAGGTTCGTGACCATCACATGATCCCTATAAAATACGTTTTTATACACAAAACTGCTTGAAGGTCCATGCCCATCACATGATCACTAATAAAATACTGAATCATCATGCATGTGTAAAATCTAAACAAAAATACCATTAATTACTGGTGAGGTTCCCCATGTATTTAACATGGCAAATTACTGGCTTCTACCATTGTTTTAAATCAGTTCTTTACACTGATTGTTGTGACAGATAAAACAAAAACAGTAATTAACCTTCTGTAAACAATTTAAGGATTAATAATTAATAAGTATATTACAAATCACTGGACATTACTAATAAGCATGTAATAATATAACTAGTAAGACTTTTCAATTAAAGTTTTGACACATTAGATTTCTTAATACACAAACAATCAAAGATTTATTGAAAAGATATGTTACATAAAGTACAGTAAAGTCTTCATAAACTACAGAACGAGTTTCAGCAACACACCCTAGTTGTTTGGAGAAATGCTTCAAACTGAAATTACATTTTTCCATTTCTTACATTTCCTAACTGCTTTGATCTGGTTCAAGACAGTTTTTTTTTTGTTTATGTTTACTAACTATAACAACAGTTATCTTTCTGTGTTAATCATTTAGATAATGCTAAAAAATTACAGTGTCATGGATTTGGAATTCTGCATTACTAGAAACAATAATCATGTATTTTGATTTATTTATAAAACTAATAACAAAATGTCTACTCTTTCTGGGGTCTTGGGAGACTATTAAAACTTTGTTCTATTTCTTCCTGGGACCCAAGGCTTGGGAAACCATTATAACTTTGTCCTACTTTTTCTTGGGACACAGGGCTTGGGGAACCATTATAACTTTGTTATATAGAGGTTGAGTACATTATATTAACAGTTATCAACTCCAGATGGATGTATTCCACCTTAATTATAAAAAATGCACCACTGAATTAAGAAGTTTAGAAAATAGGACCTTTATACTCCAGATATATGTATAAAAGCATTTTTTTAATTTTAACCAACGTTTCGTCTTTGCAGCTTCATCAGGGTTAATATACGTACACAATATAAAGGTTATTTTTTCTAAACTTTTTATCAAAATATGTCAATCCCTCTAGTGTGCACTATAAATTTTGAAAGACAACCGAATTATGAACATTATACCAAATAAACTTTGGCCATTCTTCCACACAATTAAAAAAACATAAAACTTTAAAGTTGAAATTTGTTCATATAAAATTTTAACTACTTTTATACATACAAATTATAAAGAAAAATCCCAAATTTTGATTTTTGGATTGACTTTGGCTTCAAGTGAAATAAATTACTTATAATCTTCCTGGAATGCAGGACAAGTAGATAAAAGCTTAAACTGGTGATATGTCGCTAGAAGAAAGGATGTTTGTCAACAACTTCTACCACAACTAAAGTCTTTATTTCTTTTTAAAGCTTGCTTTATAATCTTATTCTTTATTTGAGTTATGATGTTTCAATATGATAGGAAATGTTTTTCATAGAAAAGATGAAATAGGCTTAGCTAACTCATTTTGCACTTGACCATACCAAGTTTTGTTTTCATCAAGAAGGCCACTGTGTTAGACCTTATTGGTTTAAGTAACTATTTGAATGGTCAAAGAAAATCATTGAAAAGGAATGCATTATATATCTATATATCAGTGAATATAAAATGGGTTTATAACTTATCACATATACTAAATAGAACATTCTGATTAACAATTAAAAAATTTGGATTGCTTATAACTTTTATTGTACACCAGTGAACTGCATAAAGTTTTTTAAAATAAAAACAAAGAATTTATGGTTTTATAAAATAAAAACACATTATAGGAAAGTTTCAAAAGAATGTATAAAGATAAAGAAATCTACAACCAAAGTGAGTATTTTCAACTGTAACTTAAAAAATATATCAAAATAAATCTTTTTGAAATTTCAAAGATGTGTGTTAATATCAATATCAGATATTATTGTTTATTTTATTGCATTGCGAAAAACACTACTTCAGTATGAAATTTCAGAAGTATTATCTCCAGATTATATAGCATCTTTAACTAAAATATCTGATTTCTTAACAGGCACATTAATTCAGTGCACCCAGGCCTGAAAAAGTTGTAAGAATTGTGGAGCATCACCATGCCATTACAATCCAAGCCAAAATGTCCAGTAATGTTTGGTCTGATAACCATGCATCTTGACAACAGCACTGCAGGGTAGTTTCTACTGTAGAGGGTTCTGTTATAAGGCTGTCATGTCCAAAGCATACTGTTCCTCTAATGAATGCTTTCCATAATTGATCTAGTATACAACGACAATGATTTCCCAGCACACATTTCAATAATCATTTCAAACAGAAATCCATATGTGCTGCATCTGGTGATTTGACTGATATGTCTTTGTGAAGGATAACCATTTCATTTTCCAGCTTTTTGAGGTACACGACAACTGAACAAATGTTGTGGAAGTAGCTTTTGCACATGTGATTTGTGTTACTTTTCGAGGTCCCTTTTGATGAAATTGGAAACTGTTGCCTGGAGCATGTAGATAGCTTTTGCCTCTGACCTTTGTGTTTGTGGATTCTTACCTGTTATAAGACATCACACACTGCTTATTGCTGAGGTACAATTTGTTTAAGGTCTCTTTCTGAATGGTCCTGGTGATCCAAATTGATCTATACTCCTTTGTTTTTCAATTACATTAAGTACAAGGGATATTTTTCTCTTGGAAATTCTAAATCCCCAATTCAAAATACATCTTTATGATCTGAGTGTATGAATATTCTGTCAGAAATGGGTGATATATACCATTCCTAAATTTTCAGTGGCATAACACTACCCACAAAGTGCCTATGACAACATGGACACTTTTACCACTGATATTTGTGTTCCTGGATTCTCACCTATTACAAAACATCCCATTTTGCTGAACATGCCTGGGATATAATTTGTTGCAGGTCTTTCTCTGAATAGTTTTGGTTCCCCAAGTTGATGCATATTTTTGTCTTTCCATTTTTGAAATTCTAGATCCCTGGTCTGAACACAATTTTATGAACTGAATGTGTGAAATATTTTGTATCTGAAACAGCTGTTACATACCCTTCACAAAAGTGATCAATTTTATATGAAATGCCATAAAATGTCAAAATATCCCTTTTTGAAGTTCTAGATCCCTGGTCTGAACACAATTTTATGATCTGAAAATACAAAATATTTTGTAGCCAAAAGAGCTGTTACTTACCATTCCCAAAAGTGATCAATTGTTAGTGAATTCATACTATCTATGAAATGCCAATGAATGTCAAAATGTAGTTCTCATACATTCCATTGCAATGAAACTTTACATTGACTGTGGATGTTATGTGACTTACTGGTTTCATTATTTTAAACAGTTTTAATGCAATTTACTTAACCCTCTGTACTTTTTTCGTGGGACATGGCTTGAGCAACTTTAAAACTTTGTGTTACACTGTGGTGTGCTATACATTCATGAATGCCGTAAGCTACGTCTTCATGTCATATTCCACAAACAGTCCTGATTTTATAAAGGAAGAATGATCAGTTATAAATTGTAATGTAAAGCTCTTAACTATAATATGTGTGAACTACCCCAGTGATATTAACTTAATATTGAAGATCAATGTAAAGCTCTTAACGATAATATGTGTGAACTGGTGGCACAAAAAAATGTCTTCCACAGTTAAGATACTAGCTTATAAGATTAAATTTCCAACAGCCCCTTAAGTGCAGTTTTAAAACTAATATGAGAAATATTTTGTTTCATAATTGTAGGATATGCTATGTTGCTTCATCTTCATGATGTCTCAGTAGTGCTGAGTAATGATAAATCAACTTAATACAATGGATAGAACTCTACTATCTTACTACAATAATGAGATTCTTTAACACTCACCTAGGACGCAAAACATCCCCTCCAAACACTTCTGTTGGTACTTTAATTTTCTTATGTGCTCTACTTTTTGTACTGATCTGAAAATCATCATCATCTTTAAATGTCTCAGATCTTCCTCCAGATAACCCTCCAAATTCACTTTTGGTTGTAGACTGGTCTTGCCCTTTTGATTTATTTCTAGGGGTTTTCATTGGTTTTGAAACAACACATACATCCGGAAGACGGTTATCCTGAAATTAATTTGAAAAATAATAAACTTAATACATATATATATATATGGTTTTATTGAACAAAGTGACTAACCTTACTGGAATTGTTTCATTTCTGAATGATGTTGATGAACTTTTAATAGAAGTTAAACATAAGCTCTTATCAGTTTGTGTGTCTAAATTATTGCTTTTTTTTAAACTGTAAGAATCTTATACAGGGCTCAAAAATAATGCTAACAAATTTCTGGTTAGTTATGCTAGAAAAATTTAGAAGATACTAGAAAACAAACTGCTAGTGCACATTTTAGAAAGAAGATTCATAGATTCTTACTGTTGAGTATCGATATACCTGTAATACTTGCATTTCAGCCGTTTATATACCAAGATATTGGCGGAGGGTTGTTGCATGCTATAACAAAGCTTAACCACATGTAATCATGTGAAGTTAGGTGGAGGCCTCAAGGCTATAGGTGAGCAAAAATTACCCATATAGAGGGCAGCACAAAACAAGGAAAGCTATTATGTGATAGGAGGTAAGGTATCGTATTGGAACTGTATTTTTTTTTTTAAATCTGTGGCTGATATATTAATTTCAAGATACAGTCAAACTGCATTATGTGTTATTTTTATGTGTCTGATGGCCTACAGTACTGTATTTTGTTGATCCAGATGCTTGTGGCCTAGAAACATCAGGAATGTACTAGTTAGGTTAAACTCCAACATGATTTCAAATATACAGATACTAGCAAAAAAAAAAAGTGAAAAGCAAAGTAAAGATAGCTTTAAGAAACGATTTACATTATATCTTCAGCTATTATTTGGCTTTAAAAAATGATTTACATTATATCTTCAGTTGTCGGTGGCCTATAAGAAATGATTTACATTGTATCTTCAGTTATTAGTGGACTTTAAGAAATGATTTACATTATATTTTCAGTTATTATTGGGCTTTAGAAATAGTTTACATTATATCTTCAGTTATTACTGGGCTTTAGAAATGATTTACATTATATCTTCAGTTATTATTGGGCTTTAGAAATAGTTTACATTATATCTTCAGTTATTACTGGGCTTTAGAAATGATTTACATTATATCTTCAGTTATTACTGGGCATTAAGGAATAGTTTAAATCATATCTTCAGTTATCAGTGGGCTTTAAAAATAATTTACATTATATCTTCAGTTATCAGTGGGCTTTAAAAATAATTTACATTATATCTTCAGTTATCAGTGGGCTTTAAAAATAATTTACATTATATCTTCAGTTATTAGTGGGCTTTAAAAATAATTTACATTATATCTTCAGTTATTAGTGGACTGGTTTAAATCATAGCTGCAGTTATTATTTGGCTTTAAGAAATATTTTACATTATAGCTTGAGTTATTATTGACCTTTCAGAAATGGTTTAGATTATAATTTGAGTTGTGTGATATAAGAATTAGTTTACATTATAGCTTGAGTTATTATTGACCTTTAAGAAATGGTTTAGATCATAATTTGAGTTATGTGATTTAAGAATTGGTTTACATCATAGCTTGAGTTATTACTGACCTTTCAGAAATGGTTTAGATTACAATTTGAGTTGTGGAACTTAAGAAATGGTTTACATTATACATTGAGTTATTATTGACCTTTCAGAAATGGTTTACATTATATACTGAGTTATTATTGGGCTTTAGAAAATGGTTTATAGTATAGCTTGAGTTATTATTGGCCTTTAAGAAATGGTTTACATTTTATCTTAATATTTCAGTCTAATTGCAAAAACACAAAAATATAACTGCTTTTAGGAATAACTGGCAATTTAAGTAAGTGCCTCTAAAAATATTTCACTTTGCACATATTTGAAGTAATGTTTAAACATGAAAAACATGGTTGATATTAAACAACTAGTTAACAAATATAGAGTTTCAAGTAGATTATTTACACTCCTGACACCCCCCCCCCAAAAAAAAATAGGTGGGGATTAAACACTATAAATGGTAACCATTCTGAG